CTTGCTACAAAGACCACATTGTCACTAGGTCTGTAGAAGAGGTAACCAAAGGATTGCTGTGGGTAGCCGATGAAAATACACCTCTCACTTCGGGGTTCGAGCTTATCATGAGTCTCGCGTCTCACGAAAGCCTCGCAACCCCAAATCTTGATGTGGTCTAGTTTAGGTACTTTACCAGTCCACATCTCGTGAGGAGTTTTGGCAACTTTCTTTGTAGGGACTAGATTAAGGATATGGGCGGCAGTCTCTAAGGCATACCCCCAGAATGAGATTGGTAGCGAAGCTCGACTCATCATGGAACGAACCATGTCCAACAAGGTTCGATTACGCCTCTCAGCCACACCATTCAACTGCGGTGTCCTGGGAGGTGTCAATTGTGACACAATCCCACATTCCTTTAGATAGTCAAGGAACTCTGAACTAAGATACTCACCACCTTGATCGGATCGAAGCATCTTAATGTTCCTGCCCAATTGATTCTCGACTTCCTGTTTAAATTTCTTAAACTTCTCGAAAGTCTCTGACTTATGCTTGATTAAATAGACATATCCATATCTACTGTAATCATCAGTAAAAGTCAAATAATAACGATTAGCATCCCTTGTGGCATGTTTGAATGGTCCACACACATCCGTGTGTATAAGGTCCAACAAACCTTCACCCCTTTCACACGAGCCTGTGAAGGGTGACTTTGTCATTTTTCCAAGTAAGCATGATTCGCAACTATCATTTGACTTTAGGTCAAACGACTCCAAGACTCCATCCTTTTGGAGTTGGCCTATGCGTTTCTTGCTTATATGTCCAAGACGACAGTGCCATAATGATGCTTTATCCAAGTTATTATTATTAGGAGAATCAATACACAAAACATTATTTCCTGAGTTATCTACAATAGATACAGCTTCATACACACCATCACAAGGTAATGCTTTAAAATAAAGTACATTATTAAAGAAAGCATTAATCGAACCAACTTCATTATCAAACGAAAAAGTGAAACCTTGTTTGTACAATGCATGAAAGGAAATAATATTTCTTGCCATTTCTGGCGAATAACAACATTTATTCAAATCTAATTTTAACCCACTACTTAGCGATAAAGTATAAACTCCAATCTTGGTGACAGGTGTAACTTTCCTATTCCCCATGATTAAGTTTATTCTTCCTTGCTCCACATTCTCACTTCTTCCTAGTCCCTGCAAGTCACAACAAATATGAATACCGCAACCGGTATCAAGGACCCAAGATTTCGAATGGGGTGAGTTATTAGAAATGATAGTGTAAATACCTGCATGGTTGGGTTTGACTTTCCCATCCTTTACATCTTGCTGGTACTTTGGGCAGTTTCGCTTCCAATGAGCTTTTTCATGGCAATAGAAGCATTCAGCCTCTTTTGGGTCAGAAGAAGGAGTAATGAAACCTTTCTTGGTTCCACTTGAAGAAGAGCCATCAAGGGTCCGAGCCTTGGTACCCTTTGAAGATCTCTTTCTCTTCCTCCCTCGACTTTGCCCAATTGCCAAGACCGGAGTTGAGTCTGGAGTAGGAGTGATAGCAACCGACTTCCCCTTAAGACTTGTTTCTGCGGTCTTGAGAAGTCCCTGAAGTTTGCTGAGGGTGACCTCTTCCTTGTTCATGTGATATGTCATGCGGAATTGATCATAGCACGATGGTAAGGAGTGCAAAATGATATCTATTGCAAGCTCCTCAGGGAAGTTCACATTGAGCTTCAGCAAACGATCCACATACCTTTGCATTTTCTGCATGTGGCTCGTGACGGACTCTCCGTCCTTCATCATGGTTGTTATCATGGAGCAGATGACTTCGTACCTCTCTTGTCGTGCACTTTGATGGTATCTTTCCATCAAATCTTGGTGCATTTCATAAGCGTAGAAATCTTCATAAGACTTTTGGAGTTCAGCTGTCATGGTGGCTAACATGATGCAAGCCACCTTGGTTGCATCTCTTTCATGAGTATGAAAGTCAGCGATCTCCTGGGGAGTTGCAGTGGACTCGTTAATTTCCTTAAGCTCCTTGTCAAGGACATATTCTTTGTCCTCGTAGCGGGTAATCATCCTGATGTTTCTGATCCACTTATTGAAGTTGGATCCATCAAAGGTGACTTTCCCACACAAACTCATAAGAGTAAAGGAGCCATTAGGATTCGAGCCAGAAGCATTGTTTGAAGACATCTGAAAGAAAAGAACAAGTTTAGTTTAGATTTAAGAGAGTCCTTAATAAAACACCCAAATGTAATATTAAGGCTAGGATCCAATCACAATATAATATAACTTAGAAGAGGTATGTCGTAATCTAAGCTATACCATATTTGAAAGGTAGGTGAATGACGATTCACCAATTTCCACCACGAAAACCGAAATATTAGATATTTAGTTTTTGTTGGTTTTAGAAATTCCTAGATTCTTTGAGATCCAATGAACTTTTCAAAGGCATGTTTCAATCTCGGGAGTGCCCTCCAGGTTTTGTGACTGGGATGCCGAGGATCACAAAACGAGGTGTGAAGTAACCATGCAAATCACTTGGTACCCTTAAAGTTTATCACTCAATCGATGTGCCGGTAAACCACACACGCTCCACCGATACTATAATAAACCTTAAGTCACCCTTTACCTACCTTGTTAAGTCTAAGTTAGTGTGCCGGTTAACCACACACGCTCCACCAACGACTTAGACAAAGTGTAAAGTGTAATTTCATGGATTAGCACCTTATTCACATTTTTCCTAAAGTAACTAAGATTGGGAATTTAATAAACATTTAGTTACTTTATTATATTCATCATACTTTGAATGAGAATTTATAAGTCCTTGTCTTACCCGTTCGGCTAACGACCCTCCACCAGTCAAGCAAGCGGTAGGTGAGAATATTCACCCATTAAGTCACCATTTTATAGGCAACAACCTTATACCCACCTTATAGACCGGCTTCGTGAATGAGGCGTACTAGCGGTAAGACGACTTTATTCTTATACATATATATATAATTATTAAATTATCATAATATAAGTATAAGGGTTGAATTTTAACTTTTAAAATTCTAGGGGTTGGAACTAAAGTTTTAACTTAACTTTACTTGTTCCAAAACTTGAGGGCAAGTTTTGTAACTTTCAAAACTTTTTCATTTCTTGTAACTTATGAGTTTAATAGAGTAATAAAATGAAGACTCTTCATTTTTCTAACTCTTGTGTTTTCTTAATGGTTTTAACTCAAGTGACTCTTGGTTTTCCATAACTTAAGGATAAGTTATGGACTCCATTAAAACACATTATGACCAAGAATTAATCTACCACATAGGTTACAAATAATTCCTATGATCATCTAAAACATCATAAGAACAAGAACATGAATATGAACACAATCAAAAATTACATAAAACTTTGTAATTTTTGATAACTAGTTGTTGTAAATGAATTAGCAAGACATTACACCACCAAAAACAAGTTTACATTTACTAAAACAGTTTAGGGTAATGTTTCTAATTCACTTTCCAGCAATTGAATCGAAATTCTGCACTCATTCGACCCTACTCGCCGAGTGCATGAACATGACTCGCCGAGTTGGTTGAAGATACACATGGACTCGACGAGTCCCCCCTATAGACTCGACGAGTCCATTCGCAGACAGCAAATTTCCGATTCTGTTTTCAACTTTTAAGCACAAATAAGAGCAAACAAGCCTAGGCTCTGATACCACTGATGGGTTTTGAGCATTCTAACACTTCCTAAGTGTACATGCAACCCTAATAACCTTGGATCTATGTTTGTATAATTTGTCATGCAAAGTTGATTTCCAAGGTTATATTCCTATCTAGCATACATGGGGAACAATTTTAACATAAAGTGTAGATAGAATAACTTACCTTGTTGTTGCTTGTGTTCCTTGAAACCTTGTGAGCCTAGCACCCCAAGTGTGATGCCTTAAATGCTTCACACAACACCAAATGCTCTTGGAAGAACTTATGAGAGAATACTCACTTCACAAAATCGGCCAAACCCTCTATTTGTTAGTGTGTGTAACCGATTTGGGAGGAGATCATGTTACTTATATAGTGTTGACACATCTAGGGTTAAACCCTAAAGTGTCATGACTCTTCATTTCCATGATCCATGGGTTTGTAACTCCCATGGAGCATCCATGGAGCATCCTATGGGTGGAACCCAACTTGATGATCCATGGAGCCTTTTAGCCCACTATACAAGATATGGATGATTTACTTAATCAACCCATATATTCAATTAGTTATCTTTTGATCACTTAATTAATTCTAAATTAATTCTTGATCAAACTAATCAAATAACATTATTAATATATTAGAACTTATAATATATTAATAATCTCCAAGCGTTATTTCTCTCATTTAGTCTATCCAATTGCATGGTGCCATGCAACCCAAATGGACCATGCCAGGTCGGGTCAAGTACATACCAGAAATAGTTATGGACTTAGACACCTTATCCAACAACCAGGCCTTCAACCTATCTAGACTGTTCTTTGGGCCTTCGGCCTGACAGGTACCCTCCCCACCGGCCTTCAGTCTATCTGAGATGCCCTGGGTCTATTGGCCTTCCCTACAAAGTAGGTCCGCCTGAACAAAATCACACATACACAGTGTCGACACATATATATAACAAATAATCATACAATTAACCAACTAATAACAAAAAGATATATCTTAGATGTCACTAAGCATAGCATCATCCTATCTACCAGGATACAGTTCTAAGAGATCACTATAATACTCACTCATAAGATAACCAAAAAAACAATACATTGATTTTCATTCAACTATGCATCACGAGCCTTCTGCCTTTTAAGCTCAGCTTCATCAGGCTATTCGTCTTTGTCATTGTCAATTATGGGCACTTCAACAATCGTTTTTCCTTGCCTATAGGTTCTGTCTTGACAATGGGTTTGGTTGGCGCTTTTGGAGGTTCGTTTCCTGACACTCCAGATCCACCTTCTCCCCTTTGTTTTGGATCAGTGTTCTACGGCGAAACACCCTCCAGACGGTGAAGCATCACAAATACTAGATCTAGCTTTTCAGCTAAATGCTTCCGAAATGTGATTGAAATCCTTGGATCCCTAGTCTCAATGATATCTGAAAGTAAGCCTGCAACATTTGAGATGCAGCTTTTCATGATGACCTTCTCAGATAGCAGATCCTTGACCTTCTTCTTAGCATTTTCCAATTTAAGATCCATCACTTTAACCATTTCTGTCTTCCGGGTGAGAGCATCCATCACCTTACTTTCCATCGCCAAATCACTTTGATGTTTTGTTATCTGCAAAGTGATGCTGGTTTGAAACAATTCATGCTCATTTTGTAAGCCAGTGTATAGATTTTGCCAGTTATCCTTCTCCGCTTTGAATATAGTGCCCAAATTTTGTAAACTTGCATTCACAAATATGGTGTTGTTGTTGTAGGTGGTTTGGTAAGCTTCGTTAAACACAGTGGTGTCAAAAATTAGTTTATCAACTTTTTCGGCCGCCGTCTTGCAAACTATAGCAGAAGCAGTCACTGCCTTGTTCATCTTCTCTACATTATCTGTGTGATCCTTCGTTATACGTTCAAACATATTTTCAACCACCGCTTTGGAATAAGCTTCAGAAAATGAATCCTTGGAAGCAAGAAACAGATTGTCAAGCTTTTCATGAAGGGACATAAGCAGCCCTTGTATGACAGTGGCTTCATCTTCTCTTGCGGTCCTTATCTGGAATGCACTGTATGTGAATCCGCCAAGGTCATCATCATTATCATCCCCAAATATCATGTCTGGATCATCAATGCGAATAGGGTAGGTGGCTGGTGAAACATGGGTTGAGAAGCCTAATGTTTTAGCCCCCGTAGCAGATACGTTGAATGAAACTGTAAGAGTGGCAAGAGTAGTAGGTAGGATTGTAGAATCAGTGAAAATTGGAGTAGAAAGTGGAACACTGGTTTGTTGTGATGAAGAAATGGGTGGAGGAAATAGTGCAATAGTGATGGGTATTGAAGTAGTTTTACGTAAGGGAGGAGGAGAAGGAACATAGTCATTCAAGGTTTGGGTTAACTCAGTGTTTGTATTCTCTCCTTCGTTACAAATAGGAGGCTCTTCAATGCGAACATTCTCTTCCTCCACATGGCGAACAGGTTGGTCTTCTTCAATCTGAATATCCAATTCAGTCTCATATTTTGAACCTGCACTCTCACTTGGAGTGGGAAAATTTTTCTTGCGAGCAGGCCATTTTCTTCTTTTAGGAGCAGCAGTAGAAGACACTGCAGGTGCCTTTCGCGTTTTGGGTGAAGGTTTTGCAGTATATAATGGACCTTCCTCGGCAACAATCTTCTTTTAAACTTTCTTAGCACCCTTAGCTCCTTTATTAGGTTTATCCGCGACATCAATGGTCACTTTCATTTTTGGGGTAAGAGGATGAAAACCAGAAGCATTAAGCTTGCGAAATCCTTCCGGAATTTTTCTTGAGGCAGGCACGTCAGGAAACCTAACATCTAGCATGGATCCGGTAAACAAGAATTTGGAGTTATCACCCATAATGATCCCTGTTGTATGGGAGGTTGAGACAGAAAAAGCAAGAGGATCTTGCATCACTAGAATGTTGTGCTTGAGGATGGCCTTTCGAAGAATAAGGGACCAAAACTGTGCACACAATATTTCGTTGTGACGAGTCGTTGAGTGTGTGATATGTATTACCTGATCCCAGAGTACCGCTCCAAAATCGACATTCAACCCAATATAAATGCGATACAGAAGAGTCAATAACAATTCACTAGCACAATCTGACCCTGTTATCTTTTTGAGAACCCTTTGAACCGAAGGTTAAAGAGAGCGTTCCTTTGTGGAGGTAGATTTGGTTTCTGGAATTTTGAGATAGTTGATATGGTCTCCTTGTACCCCATTTGATAGGGCATCTCCAAGAGAGAAGCATTAGAGATGGACTCCGGATTGATCATGTCTTCAAAGTGATGAAGCCCTAGAAGAGAACAAAATATGGATTTGGTGATTGAGGTTTTCTGATCAAGAATGTCGAAGTTGATTTTGTTTTCCTCCTTGATATAGCTTGCAGAAGATTATGCCTTGGACAGTAGGGACATTGGAACATCCTCCATCTTTTTTAGAGCGTGAACTAGTGGAGAATACTTGAGGCACTCGAGAATCAGCAGGAGATAGGGCTCATACTTGTAGGTTTGCAAATTAATGATCAAATTATCGTTAGGTTTTACAGTTAGAAGAGTAGAATGAACGATGTGATCATGAATAGGTGATGAAGTGGCTATTGATGATTGATGAAGCTTGAGGAAGAAGATGAACAGTTGAATCTGTTGATCGCCATAAATTTTTTCAGAGGATTTTGAAAGTGATAATGAGTGAGGAACCATCAAAACCTTTATATACCATTCAAATTGTGAGGAAAATCCGTAAAGAGAATGCATCGGGTACTAAAACATTGCCTAAAAAAGAGTGACTTAACAACTGTAGATTTAAGACCCGTGCGTCATACGGCGGAAAAACAGCTGGCCGTTCAAATTTTGCACACACCATTTTAAATTGTTATCATCATAAGTTGTCGCATCATCATTCACCTTTCGTAGTTAAACACTCTTTAACCTATTTATTACGAACCTTCATGTTTAGAGAACTAGGGCTACACTGCAAACCTGAAAGTAACATTAAGAACCACGAACAAGACTATCAGAAGATCACAAGGACCTTCGTGCAAGAGTGTCAAAGATAAAGAAATAAATCAATGTATATTTGGGAAATTTTGTGTTGTCTATATAAAGACACAAAACTGATGATCCCGGACATAGATCTCTTACTTCTAGGTAAAGACAGACTAGGAATTGTCTTAGTGGTTTCTCATTGAAATACTATCAGTTGTTTGATAAGAAATATTGAAACACCCGTTCAAATTTTGCACACGCCTTTTTAAATTGTTATCATCATAAGTTGTCGCATCATCATTCACCTTTCGTAGTTAAACACTCTTTAACCTATTTATTACGAACCTTCATGTTTAGAGAACTAGGGCTACACTGCAAACCTGAAAGTAACATTAAGAACCACGAACAAGACTGTCAGAAGATCACAAGGACCTTCATGCAAGAGTGTCAAAGATAAAGAAATAAATCAATGTATATTTGGGAAATTTTGTGTTGTCTATATAAAGACACAAAACTGTTGATCCCGGACATAGATCTCTTACTTCTAGGTAAAGACAGACTAGGAATTGTCTTAGTGGTTTCTCATTGAAATACTATCAGTTGTTTGATAAGAAATATTGAAACACCTTTTCATTTAACTCATTAGGTGGCCTTCTCTCCAACCAAACAACGAACTTAATATAAGTATGAATGTCGGATGAAGTACTTGTGTGACCAGTGTAGTCAGTTAAACGAGTAGGTTTGGAATTATCTAAGTGATTAGAAGAAAGTGTGAAATCTAAAAAATGGTTCTTATGGGAACAAGTTGTTGGAATAGTGTCTAAGGCTGCAACTATATTAGGCAAGTATTTGATCCGGTTGTGCATGGTCCTTTTGGGTTGCCTTCACCATAGCAACTTGATGGATGATTTGTTAAGAGAGAGTAAATATTATAAGGAATAATATATGGTTATTTGATTAATATAAGTCATAGATTAATTGGAATTAATTTGGTGACTTAAAGAGATTAATTAAATAAGAGGGTATAAACTGTCAATTGTTTGATAGTTACACTTTAGACTATAAATCCTTATCCAAGATAGGATGGACGATTTCTAGGGCTTAGATAAGCCAAAATCGTCCATAGGGTTATCAAGGAATGGATATGGATCAACTTAAAGTCTAAGTTATCCAATTAGGGTTAAAGCTGTAATCCTTAAGGAGTCTACAACTATAAATAGACCCTAGGGGTGAAGGAATTCGACACATCAGAACACACCATCTAAAGTAGAGATACTCTTGCTGAAATCCTCCCCTCTCCTCTCTCCTAAATCATCTTTCTTGCTATTGGTGTTTGTAAGCCATTAGAGGAGTGACATTTGTGACTCTAGAAGCTCCAAGACAACAAGATCAACAAGGAATCCAAAGGTATGATTCTAGATCTATTTCAATGTTGTTATTTAATCTAATTAGCCATTAGAAGTCTTGGATTCAAAGCATGTTTAATTAGAAAGCCTAGATCCGAGCATTAGGGTTTTGCATGCGTACATAGGAAAGTTCTTATGGCTAAAACCCATCAGTGGTATCAGAGCCTAGCTTGGTTTTCTTTAAATTGTTGCTTGATTAACTGAAAAAAACCTGCAAAATTCGTTTTTTTGGTTTCTGATTCATGGACTCGTCGAGTTCCAAAGTGGACTCGGCGAGTAGGCCTGACTCGGCGAGTCCCTTTGTGTACTCGGCGAGTCCGGGCGTCAGGATTAGCCAAAACCGGGATTTTTTCATGTTTATCTTATGGAAACTTACCTTAATCATATTAGATCAACCCTAATCCGATTTTTTGATATATATGACTATAATCTTGATCTAATTAAAGATATTTATCATCTAATAAAATATTTAATCTCCTTATATGATAATTGATTAATTATTTTGATAATTATCTTAAAAGAAATCTTGGATAAATCAAATATAGATAATTAGGATATTAATTGTTAATTGGAATTATTTGTTATTTGATCCTCCATGTTTTAAATGTTTAAAACTTGCCCTCAAGTTTTGAAATTTATATTTGTGATTAAAAGTTTTAATTTAGACAACTTAAATTTCAAACCCTACGTTTTAAAAGGTTTAAAACACAACCTTATACTAATATTATATTACTAGAATATATATATATATATATATATATATATATATATATATATATATATATATATATATATATATATATATGTATAACTAAATGCTAGTCTTACCGTTAGTAGGCCTCATTCACGAAGCCGATCTATAAGGTGGGTATAAGGTTGCGGCCTATAAAATGGCGCTTAATGGGTGTACACTCACACCCACCGCTTGCTTGATTGGTGGAGGGTCGTTAGCCGAACGGGTAGGATAGGGCAACCTCATCCTCTCATTAAAAGTATAATAAGAAATACAAAGTAACTACACGTTTTAAAAATTTCCCAATCTTAGTTACTTTAGGAAAAGTGAATTGATGCAATCCCATGAAATTACACTTTGCACCCTTGCTAAGAAGTTAGTGGAGCGTGTGTGGTTTACCGGCACACTAATTGGTTCTAAGCAAAGGTGGCAAAGGGTGATTCATTGTTTATCATAGTTCGATGGAGCGTGTGTGGTTTACCGGCACATCGAATAGGTGATCGTTACAATGAAGGCACCATGTGAATTTGCATGGTAATTCACACCCGCTTTGTGATCCTCGGCATCCCAGTCACAAACAAGAGGGGCATATCGAGATTTAAACATGCCATTGAATAGTTTCAATGAATCTCATCCGAACCTAGGAATTCTCAATACACTTAGGACTAATATTCTAGGTTTTGTAATGGAGAATTAGTGAATCGTCATTCACTTACCTTCAATTTATTTTCATGTTAGATTACGACATCCCTTTTCTAATATGAAAATGTTATTGTTGGATCCTAACCCTAATTTTTCTTATTGGGTGATAATTAAGGATTCTTATTCTAATCTATCTTTGTCCTTTCTATAGATGTCGAACGCAAACAACGCTGCTGCTAGTTCTTTCACGTTGATGAGCCTTTGCCAAAAGGTCACCTTCGATGGAACGAACTTTAGCGAATGGATAAGATACATTCGCACCATTGCTTGCTATGAGGATAAGGAGTATGTCCTCGATGAAAAGCTTGAGAAAATCAACCCCGAAATCGCTACTCCGGCCGAAATCACCGCTTTTGAGACTCATGAGCGAGATGCAACGAAGGTACATTGCATCATGATTGCCACCATGAACTCTGAATTCCAAAAGTCCTATGAGGACATGTATCCATACGAGATACATCAAGACTTACTGGAGAGATACCACCAAAACGCGAGACAAGAGCGTTATGAGATTTTCACTAACATGATTTCCGCTAAGATGGGTCATGGAGAATCTCTTACCGTGCACCTGTTGGATTAATGTCTAAGTCCATAACTATAATTGGTAAGACTCGACCTGACCCGGCATGGTCCATTTGGGTTGCATGGCATCATGCACTTGGATAGACTATAATGAGAGAAATTAGACACTTATGGTTATTAATATATTATAAGTTCTAGTATATTAATAATAAGAATAATAAGATTATTTAATTAGTATTGATCAAGAATTAATCTAGGATTAATTAAGTGATCAAAAGAAGACTAATTAAATATATGGGTTGATTGTGTAAATCATCCATACTTATATAGTGGGCTAATGCTCCATGGATTATCTAGTTGGGCCAAAACCCATATGATGCTCCATGGATGCTCCATGGTGTATTTGAACCCATGGATCCAAGGAAATGGAAAGTCATGACAATTAGGGTTTACCCTAATTGTAACACTATATAAAGATATTATTCTTCCCAAAATCGGCCACTAGATTATTCTAGAGAGGGCTAGCCGATTTCATGAAGTGTAGAATTCTCTCAAGTTATTCCAAGTGTATTTGGTGTTGTGTGAACCATTTGAGGTGTCACACTTGGGGCACTAAGCACTCAAGCTTCATGAAGACAAGCACCATTAAAGAGGTATGTATTCTATCTTGTTATATTGATATTTTGTATGCTAGATTAGGATAATACCTTGGATGTTCATATTTGCATGTATAATAGAGAAAACATAGATCCAAGGTATTTAGGGTTGCATGTACACTTAGGAGTGTTAGAATGCTCAAACCCAACAGTGGTATCAGAGCCTAGGCTTGTTTTCTTGTTATACCTGCAATAGAAGCTGAAAAATCGAGTTTTGATGCTGTCAGCCCAGCTGACTCGCCGAG